ATAGTTCTTCTATCTTTCAATCACAGGTATGTTCCTTCCTTTCAACAACTCAATCCTCTAAACCCTTTTTTTAGTTTCATGAGTTTTTCTGTAACAAGAACTTTATGTTTTCAGGAACAACAGAGGAAGAATCAGTCAGATCAATGGAACCAAACCGAGACTCGTTCAAACAATCAAGCTGTATCTTACAATGGTAGAGAGCAAAGGAAAGGAGAAGATGGTTACAATTGGAGAAAGTACGGACAGAAACAAGTTAAAGGTAGCGAGAATCCTCGGAGTTACTATAAGTGTACTTTCCCAAGTTGTCCAACGAAGAAGAAAGTGGAAAGATCTTTGGAAGGTCAGATTACAGAGATTGTTTATAAGGGAAGCCATAACCATCCTAAGCCACAATCCACTAGAAGATCGTCTTCTTCGTCTTCGACTTTTCAATCAGCTGTTTTCAACGCCGGATTTGATCATTCTGATCAAACTAATTCCAATAGTAATGGCTTTCATCAATCTGATTCGTTTGCGATCCAACAAGAGGATAATACTACTTCTGGTTCTGTTGGAGACGATGAGTTTGAGCGATCATCGGTTGTTAGCAGAGAAGAAGAAGATTGTGGTAGTGAACCTGAAGCAAAGAGATGGTAAAGATCATCATCACTCGCCGATTGTTTAAACAATCTAGAGTTGGAAAGTTTCTAAATGTTTCTGTTTTCTGTGTGTTTTCAGGAAAGGAGAAAATGAAACAAACGGTGGGAATGGTAATAAGACGGTAAGAGAGCCGAGAATCGTCGTGCAGACAACAAGTGATATCGACATTCTTGATGACGGTTACAGATGGAGAAAATATGGCCAGAAAGTCGTTAAGGGAAACCCAAATCCAAGGTAAGAACATAAACATTCGTGTTTCTCAATAATCACAATTTAAGGCTCTACGAATCTGACCTTTTCGACTTGATGACTCTTAACAGAAGCTACTACAAGTGCACAACCATCGGTTGTCCGGTGAGAAAACATGTTGAGAGAGCATCACACGATATGAGAGCAGTAATCACAACCTACGAAGGGAAACACAACCACGATGTTCCTGCAGCTCGAGGTAGCGGTTACGCCACAAACAGGCCGCCACAAGATTCTGCAGCAGTCCCAATTAGACCAGCTGCTATTGCTGGTCACTCTAATTACACTACTTCCTCTCAGGCACCATATACACTTCAAATGCTTCACAACAACACTAACTCCGGACCTTTTAGTTACGCAATG